ATATATCCAGATTGCCTTCTGTTGCTCCATTCTCTTCAGTTACTTGTGTATCTGAGGACGGATTGCTTTGTGCGGTATTGCCTGTGATTATAGACATTCTTTCCTCTTGGGTTGTTCTGTTCCTGCCAGCCTCAGTTGCGCTCCCCGTGTCGGTATTCACATCATTCGCACAGCCTCTGTTTGGCATATCTAGCAGTGACCTAAATTGTGGCTGGAGGCTTTCCTGAGTACGCCTTACCTGCGTGGATCTCAGTTCAGATTCCGTGTCCAACTGGTCCCATGGTCGCTTGACCCCACGCAGCAGCTCCTCTCCTGATAATGATTCTCCGACATGCTTGTCAATGGCGTGAACCCATTCAAGGGGGCTAATAGGGATGGGGAAGAGAGCAAAGTCTGGCTTGAAGGCCGTATACATATTCTGGAGATAGTTTAACTACGTTTTAGTCAGCGTATAATAAGCCAGGTATTACCCTTGCTGCCCGGAAGCTCTCTCTTCGATGCTTTGGGCTTAAGCTCTGGAGTAATGATGGCGGTGGGCGTACCAATATCTCCACAGTGCAGCTGGCATTTTCACCGTCCCTGGCCCACTGGGTACACAATTCGCCTACCAATGGTTTCTGCCAGATCCATCAGCACCTGTCTTGGGCAATCAAGTGCCAAACAACGTACCGCTATCTGCCAATATCTTCTCTGTTCGACTATCGACTCCATATCCGGCATGCAGTTGATATGTTGGGCAGTCCAAAAACAGCATTGGAAACGAAGTTTCCTGATGGGTGGGAGGTCCTCTGCGAAGCTCCTTTTCACCTTACTGGTATGGATATTATAGACTGCCATCCTTATCCATTTATATGCAGCGAATGTATGAGTGTCATATGTAGAAGACTACTGAAAGTGCGCCGGCGTTGATATAGGGGAAGCGCGCTGAGTAGAATATATATCCAGCCTCTTTCACTATAATCTATACGCCGTGCTTGGTGCCTAGGGCTTCCATTGCCTCCAATGTTGAGCGGTAGAGGTACCATGGTTCAATTTTGGGTGCCTCTCAGGGGTTTACTGGTGATCACACAGGGCCAAACACCTACATGTCTGCACGCACCCTAGTTGCTGTCGTATCGATTGGTTGTGAGTATACTTGCAAAATCGACACCTGGTACTTTCCCCATCGGTGAGCTAGTCCCTTTTTGGAACTAGACTTGTTTCTATACAACCAATAATAGTAGTTATCTACGTAGGGTCTATGTTCCGATCAAGAAAGCAGCGTGTGGAGTGCTTGGACACCAATTTTACCAGTGAGTATGGGTGCGGATCGACCAGGGAAGCATAATTTCAAACATTTGGCCAATAGGCTGTTGTACCAAGCAAGGTACTTATGGGCCCCTGCGTGGTGGCTCCATGGCTCTGTGTGTTAAACCCATGGGCGGGGAAAGGCAATGTATGTTGTGGGAGCCAGATGAACCTGGCAGGGCTGATACGTGCAGATCTGGTGTACTTCCCTTTAAAGTCTCTATTGATCGCTTAAGGGCCTCAGGTGATAGTCCTTTAAGGAGTAACGAGAAGAATTGGGTTATTGTAAGGAAGGTTTAGCGATATATACTTTTGCTGGCCATTACTACCTCTATCCATCTACTACAATAATAGTATCGGCTAAACTTGCAATAAATAACACCTCTCATCAATTTCCTTTTTTCCTTTGCTTTTGGGGGGTAGATAGATTGGTATCGACGGTGTAATGAGCGGGACTTCGTCTGTATAGCGGATACTGAAGTTTAATTTCCACTCTTCGTTCATGTCTTAGAGAATTTTTGGCTTTAGACTTTACAACAACTACTAAAGATTCTTCTAGAACAACGAGAATATCTCCATTTTGTGGATACGACCCTCTCTGGTGGCTGACGGCAGAACTTTTTACCAGAGGGATATCCACCTTTTTCAATGGTAAGTCCGGTAATTTCCTAATTTGTTAGTTACTTAAACATCGCCATAGTCGACTCCACTGAAATAAGCTTTCCCTAATTCATAGTTTGGAACGACTAGCTTACTGCAATCTACGTATTATTGGATTTTCTACTCTATAAACTTTACCATAAAGCTACTAACATGTACTAATGTATATACACTATGAGAATCCTAGTCAAATTTCATGCTTTTAATGCTAATTACTACCAAGGTGGGTCAAAAGTCTGATTACACTAACGCGTTTCCGCGACGCGTCAAAAAATCGCAACTTTTTCAACCACCTACCATTCCATCAAAATGAGGTCTTTTGGAACCGAAATTAGTGGAAATCGAAGGCCTAATTCTGAGCTTTCTACTGAAACCCGTGCGGCGATATTATCTGGTCTAGATAACCAGGTATCGCCAACTCAACTAGCCAAGCAATTTGGTGTCAGTCGAAACACAATTTATTCAACTAAAAAACGCTTCCTGCGCAATCACACCTTGAAATCGCTTCCTAGAAAGGGAAGGCCTACAAAGCTCAGTTATTCTACTAAGCGCTATATATATCTTTTAGCGCGCCGGATGCCTAGACTGAGCTACAGAGCTCTCTGCGCAGGTAGTGGTTCTGGG